ATGGCTGAGAAGGTGACTGGACACTTCCTAGAGATGGACCTCATGCTTAGCCACACAGCCCTGAACTCAAGATCCTATTTCAAGGGTTAATACGGAGAATCAGCTGGTGATGGCCAGAGTACCACCTACCAAAAAATGTAATTTAATTTTTGAAATTTAACTCCATTAGATTCCAAGATACATAGGACCCATTGCCGTTAACATCTGTGATTTCTGTGCCACTGAAAAAGCCCTGGATAGACCAGCCTGCCTGCTGTGCATGCTCTGGACCTACAGTATATCCATCCTGCTGAACTCCAGTCTATATGACTTGACAAACAATTCCCCACAGAAACACCAAGGACACATGGCAAAGCCAATGATGGAACAAAAACTGACTCCAGATTGTCTACACAGTAAGACTCTTATGTAAACTTTGTTATCATCTCTCAGAGAGTGCTGACTTTAGCTACCCTGGACATTTTCAGGTCACCTACAAGGAACCTCTGGTCCCCACCAGGGTCAGGAGCAGGAAATGTCATTTGTTTAGAACAAATGATGAATCGGCAGCCCTCCCTGTTACCATCTCTAAACTAGAATAAAAGTGGTTCAGAAAATCTGTCCTTGGTCCAGTCTTATGACCAAAGACATTTACCAAGGAATCCACCTGGTCCCTGCCACCATCAACTCCACCACTCTTTTCAGATTAGCCATGAATTACAGACTTCCATGAGCCCACCACCATGGCTTACATGGAGGAAACAACCCGTATTATCCATTTATTTATCCATTTATTTATTTATTTTTTGCAACAAGCTTAAGGCTCTGTTCATAACTCCATCAAATGCCACACAGTGAGAATTTATGAGGGGGGGGTCTTGAACTACACATGGAGTTTTGAAGGTCAGAAGGATTACTGAACCTAATGGTAAGGCTTATTCCACAAATTTAATATATTTTCAAATTAGATTTCAAATGCAATGACTTCTAGAAAAAAATTGACTTGATTTCTTAATGATGTCAGACTGATAAAAACAAATTGGCACCAAACCAGTATGAGATATATTTTTTGAAGGAAGAAGTGATATTAATGGAAAAGATTGCCTAAAACGCATGTCCTAATTTACCACAGAAATATAAAAGTTTATATTTTGAAAATATATATACTGTATTAAAGTCTATAAGCATTTCAAACAAAACCCGCAGAAAGAACTAAGCGGCACTTAGCTACAATAACAACAAAAAACACACATGCAAGACAAGCCCCCAAAGATGTATCTACAAAGGCAAAGTGTAGATTTTCAAGATTTTACAAAACCATTTACAGAGAATAAAATAAAATACTTAAGAAATTTCATTTGGAGTCTTAAATACTGTGTATATTAGTGAGGGCATCTTGACTCATATATACAACAGATCTAAATATCTTAATACAGAAACACAGGAGAAAAGTGAGCCTTCCTTCTAAATGTTCCCATAGGAAGATTTGAGGATGTTGCTATTTTTCTATTAAAAAAAAAAAACAACTCCTACATAAACTAGATTGAAAAAGTGTGTGAATGGGACTAACTTCCAAATTTAAAAAAATTACAAACTTCAAAAGAGACTTTTGAAACCAGTTGTTAGTAGTAGTGGGGTACATAATTCAGCATTCAGTGGAGGCTATTTGTAAAAGAGGGATTTGGAGATAAAATTGCATTGTTAAAAGTCTGCTCTGATTATTTTCCCATCCTCATATTGAACTTCACATGGGCAAATCATCCCTTCATGCTTGTGAGAGGACAATTCCCAATTTGATTTATGCCGAAGAATAGATTTTAATTCATATCTATGCTTCCTTTTCATAGTTATTTCATTCTCAGCATACATGTTTCCCCTCAGACTTTATTTTTAAGCAGGAAAGGGTTATCTAAATAGAAGAATGTCCATGTGCAGAGGTGGTCTGGCCATCGTAACCATAATTCTTCAAAAGTCCCCTGGGATAAAAGCATCTAACTCCAACAGTACCCTACCATCATGCCGGAAATTGCCATCACCAAGGTTGTGGCAGACAGGGGGAGTCCCAAGTGGCTTTCTAGAAGAGACCTTGACTCAGAAGAGGCACTCTCTACTTCTCACCCATAGCTGTCCTTCCAAATTCAAAGGAACTCTGAGTTGGGCCTTCCAAGACCATCTACAATTCTTGAAGACTTACTCAGGCCCTAGGAAAGGACAACATGGGAAAGAAACAAGGAAGGTAAAGGGACAAGCAGAAAGACCTCATGAGAGGAGAGAGGACACTAGGGTACAAGATAGAAGATGGAAACCAGCACCCTACCTCAATAAAGCTTTTAGGGTAATCTGAACACAACCACAGGGCTGGTACTTTCCATCCCAGTTCAATATGCTGGAAGTTGTCTGCACTGCAACTACACACTACCTCAACAGCTACCCTGAAAATAGCCATTCCAGTGGTTTAGCTGGCCATGCAGCAGACTGTCTAAATGGCTTGTGCCCAGGTGTTGGAACTACCTTAGGTAAAGGACTTGATGCAAACAGATGAAACAGTCTTTTAAAATTAGCAGTGTGAATTCCATCTTGGAAATAGTATCAGGTCTACCTCAGTCATCGAAGTCCTTGATACATTCAGAGGTTTGGTGCTCATCAAAGATCCAAAGCTAAAGCAATTCTGATTGTATCAAAAGAAATCAAAGACGGATGCTGTTAACAGGAATTTATAAATATTCTCTTCCATTTCCAGGAAGAATTCTGTCCCCTTGCCTCCCTATGGACAAAACTGTCTTGATTAGAAAGCACAGGGGGTGGGTCCTATAGAGGTGTTAGCAACAGTGAAGACATGTACAAGGACAAGGGCCATCTTAAGGGTGTGAGGAGGTACATGGAACTCTTCTAATGGAGAAGGTTCAACAACAGATACCTGGTAGAATCTGGTGTTCTCCCATATTAATTCTCTATACCCCAGTCTACAGCTCCTACAGTGTGCTACTAGGACACCAGGGAGCTACAAGTTTCAATTCCATTTTCCTGTGATTGAACACAGTCAGGGTGGTTGTACCCACAGGCTCCTCATAGCCAAGGTGGCACAGGCTGTAAGAGAATGGAGAAGTGAAATTCTCCAATTCATCCTTAGCAAGATCATCCTAAGGACCACAAGGCCAAGTACATGTGGGAGCCACTGTTTAGAGGGCCACACCACCAGTTCTCATACATTCAGCTACCCGTGTCATTCAAAGCTCAAGGCCACGCATTCCTTCCACTTGTGACTGGGGTAGCTATTCCCATTCAAGAGCAAGCAGAGACCCAACTTCCCCTCTTTGTTGCCACCTCCCCTCCACAAGCTGGACCAACTCAGTGCTACATCCCATTGTCTACAAGGAAGGGCAAAGAAAGGGAAACTCAGTGGGAAATGGAGAGAAAGAACAGAGCTCAAGCTTGGAACACATCTAGAACTATCCAGGCACCCTGATGATCTCATTTTCTCTGTGCATACGATCTCAAATAAGTTTGAGGCTCCAGGCACAATGGGTCCCTTCCATTTCCTGTACCTTTATCCACTCAAACCCAAACTCCTCGCCTCCTTCCCGTGCAGGTCCAGCCACTTTAGTTGGATCACACAAACAGAGCTACAGGAGGCCTCCGGTATCCCAGGGCCATTGAGGCAAAGAGATCTCTATGCCAGATACTGCTCCCTTGTATTCTCCCAGCTAGAAAAAAAAAGACTCATTGTTCAGGCTTCTGGAAGCAAAATGGTTTGGACCCTATAGAAACTCCAGAGACTGAGTTTTCTTTCCCAACACTCCCGGAAGGCCAACCAAGACATTGGCATCCATATGGGAGGAAAGTTATTGGAAATCAAAATTCATTCATCTATCCCAGAGCAAAAGAATATCTCACCCTAGGCAATGTTTCATCCTGAAACAGGACTGCACCCCCATACTTTCTTAACACCACACATTTAAGGAGTGGGTCCTGTTTTGAGACCATTTGGGGTGACAAGAGTCCTCTATTCTCCTTAATGACAGTGAGTGAAAGAGAAAAATGCCATCATGACTTGTCCAAAAGCAAGACTAGAGGACTGGAATCATGCTGTAAGAGAGGATCTGTCACAGCGTTACTCATTTTAAACCCACAAAAATCCTTCCATTCTCATCTCTGAACTTTCCACATGGCTCATTGCAAGAGTGCACCAAACGGCATGAACCTTGAATAGTATTTGGTCCAGGGTAGTATGAAAATAAGATCTGTGTGAACAATAGACTTCATAATATATAAACAAAAATAAATAAATAAAATAAATCCGAATAAAGAAAAAAATTTCCTAGTAATTCATGTTTTTGCAAAACTAGCTTTACATATAATACACATAAATTATCAGAATTTCCACTTACATTTTTTTTAAAAAATATATATTTAACAAAACATTTCTAAATGTACAATATCTGGGTTTGTAAATCACTCAGTTGGGTTTTAAGACCAAGCCCTAAGAGTCACACCAAGTTACATTGGAGAGGAGACTGAAGCCGGGCCTACAGGCCTACATAGTCGCGTGCTAGCCACGTGCTTGTTGGTCTGTGAATTCCCTAAGATGATTGTCCCCGGTCCCAGATCATTTAATCAAGAACCATGATGGCCTCATCTCCAAGTTGGAGGCACTGTGTAGACACAGCCTGAGTCAGAAGGATAGGGGAGGTTGATCTTCCCCTTCTGGACCATGGTGTTAGAGCTAGCGGGGAAAGGGCAGCAGTGCCTGGAAGAGCCCGGGAAGGTGTAACCCTGGGAATCTCTGTGGCCGGCTGGGATGGGGACACGGGGAGGCCAAGGGTACTGCATTTCCCACCTTGCACAAAATCAAACCAATGAGGAACAACCAAAGGACACGAGGAATGGACACAACCCTAGGTGTAAAGACACACCCTGACAAACTCTTGGCTATGGTGGACCCTGGGCTCTGATGGTAGAAACACAGGGCCCAGCTGGAAGTCAGGTACCCTTGAGCAATGGGGCTCAGGAGCTGGGGCCCTTCAGACTTCATAGATTTTGTCCTGTAGGTAGCTGAACAGGGAGTCCAGGCCTTTGGATGAGCTCCAGAGCTGCTTCAACATGAGGCATTCTTTCTCATTCACATCTTCCAGCACTGACTTCAGGAAACTTCGGACCAGGCATTTGGACTCTTCTAAAACCTGGAAAGATACCCACAAGTTAGGTTAGTCAGCATTAGGCTGAGTTCTGTCTTTATACCCTTGCAGTGTCCACAGCCAGGGGGAGGATTCATCTTGAGCCCAGGTTATCTAGTTTGTTTATTAGCACTGTCCTGAATGGCTTCCAAGTGGTCAAGGTGTTGAGCCCTCTATCCATGGGATGACTTGGGGAGAAAGGCATGGTCTCAGGCCAAAGGAGCCTTGCCTTTTATCCAAAAGTGATATAATCAGTACCCCCCCCCCCGGGTG